TTTGCATGCTTTCGAGCCGCTAGGTTGGCGGGAGCTGGGACAAGCAACGGGTGCTCACTCTGTTGCATGGATTCGATCTTATGACTGCTGGTCTTCTGACCCTGCAGCATAGGCTTCTGCGGTTTAGCCTGCAGCGCCACCACGTCCCTTGCGCCACCACGTCATGCCTTAGATAAGCCTAACTTCCTGTTTGAAAAGGAAGCTGACCTGGTTCAAAACATCCAAAATGCACATCCCTAATACTGACAATAATAGTGACAACCATAACAATGGTTAGGAAGAACGGGATTTTCTGATTTTTCTGTACTATAAATGACATTAACCTCCATTTTGGGAGTTCTCCCTACCTTACAGACACCTGACTAACACCTGAACATGATGCACCTGGGGAAAAAAAACCTCAGTTAGAAGGCTGGAGCTTCATCCAAGCTTCGTTTTCCTGCCTGTGCTATCAATCTCCAAAAACATATGGCATGTGTAGTCCAGAAAATCTGGAAAAAGCAACAACCCACTAATGATTAGATAACCCAGTGTTGCGAGGGACATTTTTTTTTGTCAGTTAGACACTTGCTGGCATTATACCTAGGGTTACATCACACACAGCCTTATCTGTGGCACATGTGGCATGTAGAGAGTTTTCCAGGCCTTACACAGCACATGTATAGCACCTTTCTGCTGGTTAGAGGTAGACATTCAGGTTTAATGACAGTCTTACACACATAAATAAAACTTTATCCTCTTCCCAGTGCTCCTAGCCTTTTTTGATCCTTTCCTGCAGAGCTGAGGAATCTTAGCAATTGCGCAAGATGGAGTGGATGCCTTGACAGATGACCATACTGACCTGCTGTCTGTCTCTTCTCATGAGACTCAGTTTCTCATTTCATATGTGAAATCATCTGCCCGGAAACTTTTGAAGTCTGGTGTGCCCAGCTATTCCAAGATCATTCAGTAATGAAATACAGTAAGAATGCACTGCTGTACACAACTTATAAAGAGAAGACAATAGACTTTGTATAATGGTCAAACCAGTAAAATGTATACAGACATAAAATAAAATACAGCCAGTGTGGTGTGCATAGAGTGATGGAGTAGGGCTTAGGAGAGCCGGATTTCAATTCCCACTTGGCCATGGAAATTCACTTGCAAGGGGGTTGTTATATGGAGTGGTAAAACTGTTCCTTAAATACAGTAGGGTCCCCATGGTAATTATTACTGTATTGAGCAGGGAGTTGAACCCGATGACCTTAGAGCCCTCTTCCAACTCAATGAATACTATGATTTTGTATATTTTCAGGATCAGTATCCGCGGCTTCATTTATCCATGATCTGGAAATATTGGAAATATTAAAAGAAAAACCTCAGAAATATGTATTTTCACAATGCAATTACCAGAACTAGGTAATTCTCTAGATTCATTTATCTAGATCCAGTTATCTAGATCCATTTCAATTGGGTTTCAGACCGGGTTATGAGAAAGAGACTGCCTTGGTTGCCCTGTTTGATGACCCTTGATGGGTGAGAAACAGGAGGGGTGTGACCCTGTTGGTTCTCCTGAACCTCTCAGTGGCTTTTGACACCATCAACCATGGGGTCCTTCTGGACAGATTGGCTGGGATGGGAATGGGAGGCACCGTTTTACGGTGGTTCCGCTCCTACCTGGCTGATCGAGTCCAGAAGGTGGTGCTGGGGGACAGTAACTCTGATCCATGGCGGTGTCATCATGGGGTTCCTCAGGGCTCTATACTGCCCCCCCATGCTATTCAATATCTACATGAAACCGCTGGGGGAGGTTGTTATAAGGTTTGGGCTGAGGAGTCAGCAATATGCTGATGACACCCAGCTCTACCTCTCGTTCTCTACCAATCCAGGTGCGGCAGTCGCAATTCTGAACTCGTGCCTGGACTCGATAATGGACTGGATGAGGGTCAATAAACTGAGGCTCAATTCAGACAAGTTGGAAGTGCTCCACCAGATAAGTTAAAGGACAGGGTCTACAACTTGGGGGTGCTCCTTGACCTAGGTCTGACATTGGAAACCTAGGTGGACTTGGTGTCCACGGGTGCCTTCTTACAGCTGCAGAGAATATATCAACTTCGCCCTTACCTGGATGAGCGTAGCCTGGCAACAATCACACATGCACTGGTAACAACCAGTGCAATGCGCTATACGTGGGGCAGCCCTTGAAGATGGTCCAGCGACAGCAACTGGCACAGAACTGGGCTGCGTGGCTGGTAAGTGGTGCTGCTGCACAGACTCATATCACACCAGTTCTGAAAAATTTGCACTGGTTGCTGGTTACTGCTCAGGCCCAATTCAAAGTGCTTACTTTGACATATAAAGCCCTAAACAAGTTAGGACGTGGTTACCTAAAGGACCACTTTCTTCCATGCGAGCCTGCCTGTACTCTAACAGGCAAGGAGGCCCTTCTGAAGGTTCCAAGGTTGGGTGGCAATAGCCGAGAAGGCCCTATTTCGACATGCCGTTGAAATAGGGCCTTCTCGGCTATTGCCACCCAGCCTTGGAACGCCCTCCCTATAGAGATCCGCCTGGCTCCAACACTTTTGGCTTTTTGGCACCAGGCACAGACCTTTCTGTTTAGCCAGCATTTTAATTAAATAATATCCTTTAGCTGGCCATATGAGCAGTAGGATTTATTAATATTAATGTTTTAATGACTGTTTTTAATATAGGGTATTGTTACAATATTGCCCATTTTAAATGTTTTTAATGTTTTTAAAGTTTTAATATTGTTGTATGCTGCTCAGAGACCATTGGTAATAACATGCCTAATTTTTTTTTGCAAATAAATAAATAAATAAATAAATAAATAAATAAATAAATAAACAAACAAACAAACAAACAAACAAACAAACAAACAAACAAACAAACAAACAAACAAACTGTTCACTAGAGGGAGCCAGAGACTATGCTATGCATAGGGTTTGTGCTTTTATCAACCGATTGTCTTCTCTTGTAAGTTGTGTACAGCAGTATATGCATTTTTGGCATCCACAGGGCAGCTCGGAACCAATCCTCTCTGGATAGAGTGATCCTACTATATCTCACTTACTTTGAAAGTCCTATCTGATTGATGGTACCTAAATAATATTCAAAAGGATGTTTTAATGTTATGTTGTGTGTTAATATATATACTGTATATTGACTGTAAGTATAATAATATGAATTGTTATGAACAAAACCTCAGGATAACATGGAGGGTTTGAAGATAAAGTGAAATCACTACATGTTAGTATGGATATATTTACCAATACTCAGGATATATGAATTATTGAGTATAGAATTTTACAGCCAGGTATGATTGCTACATGTTAGTAAATACAGTCAGGCTGGGAACAGACATTAGAGACATCCTGTGACTGGGAGAGGAAAATTCTGAACTGATATGAGCATCTGAGGTGGCACACAGCATGAACTTCTCTCACCTCCATGATTATGTAGATTAGCTGTATGACAATTGGTCTTTAAGATATACATGTGGGATTCCTCTGAAGTCCAATTTCACAGATACTGAAAAAAGGCCTCAACAATCTCTCTGCATTATATTCGCGAAGGCTTTCACGGCCGGGATCTAATAGTTGTTCTGGGTTTTTCAGGC